AAAATCACCAATGTTCATATGTTTGTTTTCGCGCGGAACATGAAGGTGTTAAATTGATAAGAGACATTATTTGATTAGTGAATTGCCCAAACCATTTATTGTAATTATTTGTTTATTCATTTATAAAACAATAAAAGAAGAAACATATTAATTTTTACCTTAATTCTTAACAAAATCATGAAATTTGTTGACAGAATTTTGCTATGATGTGCGGGACCTTTACCTATATACATTTAAAAATCTACCACTTAAAATAATTGCTCTGATACAAGTATATTATGACTTTTGCATTCAAAAACTCCATTTTAATTATAATTTTTTTTTCTTGTGACTGTTTTCCAGTGACTTTTTTCCTGTGACTTTTTGTTCGTTTACCTCAATAATACTGTGCACTACGGTAAAGAACAAATGCAGTACTTTTTCAGAAAAACACAAAAGAGGACAACTAATCCAAATTGAATCATTAAAAAAAACACGCTTATATATCATTATGTATTTGAAACTAGATTCTTGGCACATAGTTCGGCAAAGTGTATGTGTGCTGTCCTTGAAAAGGTTCGATTTATTTTTTCGAAAATTTGGATTTTGCTGATTTTTAATCAAAACTGAGACAGTGACAAAATATCTATTTAGTTATGGTAGTTGCTTATATCTAAAAAGAAAGATAACTTTAGCAACTTTATAAACCAAAACGCTATTTGTATATCATTATATGATACTGTATGACTGGATTGATGAGGTCATTACACAGACATCCAATCTCATTAAAATGACATGTTAGGTTTAGCTACGATAATCTCCATCCTAGAGGAGTGTACGTAGCGTATCACAATATTGGAATTTGATCACATTGACAGAAATCATTGTTAAGTTACATTGTTTGTTAGTGTATTAAAAAAAAAATAATTGTATCTAATTTAGCAGCAAAAATTCACTAAGAAAAAAAGTAATTTGTTATAATATCGGCGTTAACATCAATGAGACAATAAGTCAACGACAAATACAACTAAAAGACATCCGGAGGGTCGCATATACTATGTTCAAAAAGAGACCACAGATATGTTCACAAAATTTCAAGATATAAATCGCCCTCCCTTTTTAACAGTTGTGAATAAATAATACAAGTCTTAGATCTCCCATAAACACCAAATTCTCAAGTTCTCAAAATTATATACATTTAAGATATGACATGAAAAAAAACTACTGGTGAGATTTGTAGCTCGTATTCACTGAAAGGTTTCTAATGTGTCATGGCTCTTATGACTGATACCTTTTGTTTGATCGTGATGACCTTACAACAATCGATATCGGCAGTTCAAACGATTCGCAATCTCCTGACAGTGATTTTTCTATAAAGAAGACAAACAGTAAGAACTTTATCCATTTGAAACCAAATTAAAGTTATAAGAAACCGGAATATTTTGTTGTAATAGCTTAACAGTAACGCAATAAAGAACGGATTGTGAAATTATTTACTTTCGATTTAAACCATATCAACCTAAAATTAGCTCGTCGTCAAAACAAACAATAACACTGCTAAATTAAGAAAACTTACCTGTTGGATTTGATTGAGATCAACAGATTCAAAATAAACCACGACTTTTCTGCTGTTTAACTTGCAATACTGGTTCTTGAAGAAAACACTAGTCTAATTAATACCAATACTTAATGTAGAAATTATATAAGGATGATAAAGTTTGATGTTTGACATTTTTAAACACTACGTGGCGCTGTTATCAGCCTAGTTTAACTTCCTGACGACACCTCTCGGTTAAAAATAAATCAAACAAATTAAAAATTTCATGCTTAACGATTTTTCAATAAATCAAATTATGTTTTGTTAGAATTTGATGACTAAAAAAGCAAAAAAGACATAACTAAAAATTACAATAGATAATTATGTATGCGGCTGCAGTGGTATTTTTTCGGTTTGATGTTTTAAAAGTTTATTGACACAGAAAAGCGTTAAAGCAAAAACATTCAATTAAATGCCTTTCCAATGCTGAAAAAACAATACAATGTTTGTTTATCTATTAAAGAGGAATATTATATATTCACCTTACCATGTTGTTTTTTTTCACTTTTCATTTATACGCAATGATGGGCAATTGCAGCCGTAGGTCGGGGACAGACAAACATCAACATATATCCTATATTTATAAAACAAATAAAAAGCCTACAAACAATCCACTTAGAAAATGAAGGAAACTGAAAATTTAACGGCACGAAATAGTACGAAAAACCTCGAATGAACGTAGCCGGTTTTGGTATGTAAAAACGAAATAATTATACCCCACTACATTTTCAGTCATTGGTTTTATTGTGTGTTAGATCTTTATTTTTCTTTTTGTTGTTTAATCTCATATAACTCATTTCTTGCGTCTAAATGAAGACTAAACGTTTGCAGGCTAGTGTATGGTCTTTTGATTTCACCATGTACAAACATTGTATATTTACATTTGTCATTTCGGGGACTTTTGAAGCTGACTATGCGGTATAGGTTTTGATAATTGTTGAAGGCCGTACGGTGACCTATTGTTGTTAATGTCTGTGTCAATTTGTCTCTTGTGGAGAGTTGTCTCATTAGCAATCATACCAAATGTACTTATTTTTATATTAGGTCGAAAACGTACTGTTGTTGTTTGTCTATCTTCGACTTAATACACCTGTCATAGCCTATATAAAAAGAACAATAAAAATCCAATAAGCTGTCGACTGAGAATGGTAGAAATTAAAATCAAACGACACGAAATTCACCCCCCCCCCCCCCCCCCCCCCCCAAAAAAAAAACGTGAATGAACGAAGGAACTTCAGAAGAGTAGGCAGTTTGAGCATATAAGTTGTCACAAGAAATTTTAATCTGCATGGTCGGGATGACACTTTAACCCGAACTCCTACGTCGTTCGTGTAAAGTATGGTTACCCGAGCCGTGCAGATAAAATATAACATATACCGATTTGCTTGTTCAATAACTATAACATAAAGTATAATGTCAAACTTTTTCAGGCATCGATCACTTTTTCAACCCTTTATCAAATTTAATGAAATTTGGACATAAGCTTTTTTATGACCAAAAGACAGCATCCAGAGCAAAAGATTAATTTCATTTTCCGTATTTACTGATACTGATAAAAATACTTGGTTGTTTTTTATAGCTAACATTCAGATTCAGTCTAGGGTTAAACGGTTTCTAAGTTATCAATAACTTTTCCAAACCTTTATGGAATTCTACGTTTGTTGGATACACCTTTTTCATGATCAAAAGACATTATCCAGAGCAAAATAATTCAACATTTTGATTCTTTTTTGAATTTTACTGAATAAAAGACTAAGTTTTAAATAGTTAGCAAATATTTACAGTATGTTGTTAAAATTTGTCACAAATGAATTACTTGTCGAACCTTTATAGTATCTAATGAACTTTTGGCAGAAGCTTTTTAATAAATTAGAGATAACACCTGAAGCAAAATTTTGAAATAATATTTTTTTCCTTTTTCAGTATTTGTCTGATAGATGGACTGAGTTAAAGTGCAGTAAACATTTACAAACAGTAGGGGGTTAATTCTATTTTACATGATAATCTTTATGGGTTGATATAAGACTTTGACAGGAGTTAATATTCAAGATCAACTTTTTATAATCAGCATTACAGATGCATTTACGCAGACAGCAGCAATCGTGGGTAAGACAGAGGGTTATGCGGAACGGTTTGAGATTCTTTTAAATTTCTAAGGAGATAAGGATAGATTAGTAAGTTACTAAAATATCCTCTTTCGTGAATGACGTATGGGTATATGTTGGATTCTCAGATTTGCTGCGAACTCCAAAGTCTTTAGTTAGACATTCCAAATAATGAATTTTGCATTTAAAGACACTATTGTTTGCTACTTTAACGGTTGGAACAACACCATATTTGTCGTTCAAAAGTGATAGCGCATCGATAAACTCTCGTTGCTTGAAACTTATAGGAGTTTCACTATAAAAAGTTTCATACAAACAGGATATACACACAGACACCAAAAATTAACAAAATCAAAAGCATGTATTGTGAATAATTTATATATTCATTTGATTGGACTAATTGGTTAGTTTTCATTACCGATTTGTCTTTAACTGAAATGTTTACTTGATAGACTATCATACGTTTGCATTTGTTACAGCTTGGAAAATGCATTTAGGAATTTACTTAGGTAAAATGAAAAAAAAATAGAATTTAGAATTGAAACTTTAAGTCAGAAGAGCATTAGTTAAGGAACAAAATAAGCTAAAATGTTGTGGAGATCGTATTCGAGATATTTTTTAAATATCTTTATTAATAGCGGAAAAAGGCCGCTTCGGGCTTTAACCTTATATTTGCATTGCACTATTTGGATCTCAAATAAAAAAAAATCTAGAATCTGCTTGAATTTAAATTCATGGCCTTTTATGATCTATTGTAGTCTTATATGAAAAGACAAATGGGTGTTATGGGGCAAAATATTTTACCCTGTATCGTAGGAAAAACTCAAGGAGTTCGAACATCTGGCAGAAGGTCTTAAACCTGACCTAAGTACATCCTTAAAGTGCAATCTCAACCGAAACATAAGCCGATCAAAGTCGCAAATAAGCTTGTATGTAGTCATGGTGGAAGTTTCTATCACTTTTGTAAAGCTAAATATATGGTTAATACATAGACTTTTTACATGTCCAACTCCAAAGATTACAAAGGTGATACACGTGCAGAAGAACCTGCTAACTATTACGAACCACTTGAGATCACCCCCGGTTTCTAGAATTTCACTATCGGTCAATGATTATACAGATTATCTAAAATTATCCTTATTATACATGTTATATTTTAGAGCTGATATATATACGTCACTATTACAATTTTTTTTACAATATATTAATTTCTCTCATTTGCCATTATGGATTTCAAATATTTTCCATTTCACAAGTTCGGTCTTTAATTTCACACCAGTTCACACTAATTTTAAATGAAAAGTACTGAACGGCATTGCTAATAGTCCTTCTTTATATAAAAAAAATTAGAAACTTCCACAGTAAAAACTAAAAGCTATGCACTTTTGTATATATATAAGTAATATTTTGATATAAAAATCTAATTTGAACTATTTATGTTGTTTCACATGTATATTTACTTGCATTTGTATACATATAAGGCCTTGCCTTCGTTATTAATAACAAACAGTTTTGTGAAGTCATTGTTAAAACACATTCCATACGGACGTTTAATGCCATTGTCTTTGTTCAGCATTTTTACACAGTTGTTTCCATCTGATGATATTCTCTGTATGTTGTTGGTGTCATTACCACCGAAATAAATGTTCCCCTGTCGATCGCGTGTTATCCCTGTTGTTCCTGAAACGTTCATACTATATACTTGTGTTCCATCTAATTTGACACAAAAGAGTTTACCAGAAATTCTAACAATCAAATGATCATGTAAATCACTGTATACCATAAAGTAAATATAATCAGATCCTTGTTGCATTGTTTTAAGTATTGTCCCATTGGTGTCTAATATTTTGATAGTACCGTTTTTACCACCAACATAAATTCTGTCCCGTCCAGCAGTGATACCATAACATGTAAATCCAACGTTAACTTTGTCGCCCTTTGTCATCGTTGTCGTATTTATAAACTGAATAGACTTTTCGTTTGTAAGTGTAACAACAGCTCTGCCTGTACCTGGTATCACACCTACTAATCTAGGTTTAGAGGAAAATGTTATTTCAGTCTCAAAATCTTTACAGTCTCTGTAAACAAAAAGTTTCGAATCGGATGATGAGTAATTAGTCATGAGCAGCATATCATTATCTGTCACTGATACACATAAAAGATTATATACAACGCCAGTTTTAAGTTTTAATTCTATGTCCTTCTCAAACCCAACAATGCGTTTCATTCGTTCTGCCTTCATCTGTGCCTGTTGAAATTTCTTTGGTTTGTATTGAACTTGACATGGTTGAGTAAACTCTAACAGTGACCCTAAAGACTCAATCTTTGCCACTTTCTGTTCATCAAAGGTAATTTCGATTTCTTGTGAAGAGGATACCATCTGCTGAATTTTCGCCTCGGCGCTATGAATATTTGTTACCTGTTGTCGCAAGAATATAAATAAGTGATTATTTGATCCATGATCTCTCAAGAAATCCATTTCTTTTTTATTTTCTATTACGTTGACCAGGACTTGTGATATTTCATGTTTTTTTCTGTTTATTTCCATTTCATGTTTTCGTTGGAGAGATGAAAAACTGACAGTAAGTTCACGCTCCAACTCGTCAATTTGTTTCAACAATTTGGATTTTACTGCTCGGATCCGCTTAGTGACTGTTGATTTAGATTTCTCTAATGATTGTAAGTTTGACTGTCTGTTATCGTTTAAGTCATTCAATGTTGTGATCAGATGGTTTATGTCTTCTAAAACATCGTTAAAAAGTGCACACTTTTTAACATCCCTCGAGGCAAGTTCCAATGGAAGAACGTTCTGACAAACCCTGTGTTCATTAGAAATACAGGCTCTACAGCATACGATCTCATGATCTGTGCAGTAATAATCCCAAAGCATATCTGAATGGACGTGGCAGTTTTTCTTCGCAGATATAAGTTTATTTGATCCGATGGACGACAGGTCGATAACATGGTGAGATTTGAATGCTTTGAATCGGCGATGTGATTCCGCACAGTCTGTACAAAGTCTTTCTTCACAGTCGGAGCAATACTTTGTTGCTGTTAATGACTTATTAGCTGCAGAGCAAGGATCACATAAATTAGCGGACGCCATAGGAAAACTTCTAAAAAAAAATAAGTTTTTATTGTACTCCAAATCATAAAGAATTTTCTAGATTTTCTGTATTTAAGCAAGTTTCTCTGCGCAGTATTAGCAGTTAATATTTGAAAAATCCTTTATGCGATTTTGTACATAGAATTTTGTTCATGTTAGAATGGAAACTTAATTGCTCTTTAAAAGAAAAAAGCCAACTTTTAAATAATCCATAGCAGAAAACAGTTTTTTTATAAGATCGAAATGATAAATGACTTAAACTTCCAAAGCTAAACCATGCATAACCGAAACTGTTCCAGAATCAAGTCGTCTTATTATTTAGGTTAAAGTTGGAGATGTTTGAGTATATTCCAATGCAACAACAATTAAACTAAACTAAAACATCAAAATACAGTTTATTACATTCTAGGGAAACTTTATTATCGTTGTCTCGATATTAAGAAAATTTAGAAACAAAATATTTTTCCAAAAAAGATAATAAAAGTGTCGCCTGTTTAAAAAAACCGGTACATAGTACAAATACCAATGCATATGAGGTGATGGTTGTTTTTATCCGGAAAAGAAAAGGAGGAAATCGAGGGGAGACATTATTTGACAAGTGAGATTGACCAAAAACTAAAAATTTGATCGTTTTCCATTTAATAGTAATTGTAATGAATACACAGATGATATCCCCGCTTGTATAAAGCGTTATAAAGGGACATAACTCAAGAACGGAAAAAAATGACGCCACAAATATTCAAATTGGATCTGTGTGTTGTGGTAATAAGTATTGTGTAAAATATTCATAACTTTTGGTTGAGGCAAACTTAAGTTAGAGAACAGAAACGAAAAATTTTACATGTTTTTCCATTTGTAAATGGGTATAAATCTAGAAAAGTCAAAGAGACGCCACCCAAATTCAAACTGGATCTGTGTTTTCTGGTTATAATCATTGTGTATAACATTCCTAACATTTGGTGAGGCAAAATAAAGTAAGAGAAAGGAAACAAATTTTAAAATGTATGGACGTACGGACGGGAATACAAAGCAGAGGCGGATTCAGGCGGGGGCGTTGGTCCCCCCCCCCCCCTAAAATTTGCAAAGCATGGGTTGTCCTCAGCTTAATAAAGAATATTTCGATAATTTTACCTCAAAAATATTTACGCCTCGCTCCGCTCGTCGAAACTTTAAGTTTGCGCCACCCACTAACCTAAAATCCTGGATCCACCCCTGCACACGGACAAGGGTAAACTTAATCCCCGCTTAAAATAGTAACGGTGGTCAAGTTTCGAAATCGAATCGTGCAAAATGATATTTGAATATTATATGACACTGGATTGATGAGCTCATTTTTTCATGGAAAAAAAACAAATAAATCCATTGTTTTCTCATATTGTTTGCTTGGGTTTATTTTTGATATTTTGTTGGGTTTCTTTTTTTATATTTTTGAAGCGATTATCTGTCCTACAAAAAAGGAATGTCAATTCCATAATAAAATCTCATCAAATTTACCAGGATAATAATTTTAAGCTCTTAAACATTATATTTGTTTGGCTTTCTAAATATTTTGATCTGAGCGCCATTGATGAGTCTTATGTAGACGAAACGCGCGTCTGACGTATCAAATTATAAGCCTGGTACCTTTGATAACTAATTATACCCCAGACGCGCTTGTCGTCTACATTAGACTCATCAGTGGTGCGGGGATCAAAATAGCTGGAAGGCCAAATCAATGCAACACACCAAACATTTCTTATAACTTAATACAATCAACCTTTATTTGATAAAAGTAAAACATCTACAAGCAAGCGATATCGACCGTTTAAACTATTCGCACTTTTACTTTTTACTTGCTAATCAATTACATAAAGAAGAATCAGAGAAAGAAAAATATCCATTTTAAAAACAAATTAATTTGTTTACAAAACAGAATATTTAAAAGTTACATGTGTACTAGCTTAACAGAAACACAATAAAGAATGGATAGTTGAATTATTTACTTTCGGTTTTAACCTATCTACCTAGGCTAGTTTAGCTCTTCGTAAAAAAAACCACTGCAAAACTAAGAAAACATACCTGATTGATTTAAGTAAGTTCTACAGATTCAGAATAAAACCACGACTGTTCTACTGTTTAACTTGCAACACTGGTTCTTGAAGACAACACTACGTTAACACCTGTGTGATGAATGACGTTTTTAAACACTACGTGGCGCTGTTATCCGCCTAGTTATACTTCCTGGTTAAAAATAAATCACACAAATTGAAAAATTCATACAAAACATATTTTTCAATATTAAAACAAAGTTTTTATTGCTAGAGTTTTATATAAAAAAAAATACCAAATAAAACAGTAGATAAAAATGACGGTTACAGGGGATATTTTTTCCATTTTATGTTTAATGGATTTATTGACACAGACAGCTGTCACAGCAAACAATCATCTTAACATCTATATAATGCAGGAAAAAGCATTAACATGATCTTTTTAATTTAATCGGTAGATTTCATTTTCACTTTACGAGATATTTTTTTATTTATCATTAATACGAAACGATGGACAATTACAGACCTCAGTAACAGACGAAGGTCGAAGACAGACAAACAACAAAATAGCGAAATGTGAAAAAAATAACAATTAAAAAAAATCACATTAACGTTCACTCAGAAAATTAAGAATACTGAAAATTTAACGACACGAAATAATACTGAAGACCTGAATGAACGTAGGCGGTTTTGATATGTTAAAACGAAATGTTTAAACCACAACATTTTCAGTCAAGTGGTTTTATTGTATGTCAGGTCTTCTTTTTTCTTTTCTCTTTCTTTTTGTTGCTGTTTAACAACTTTTTAACATGTGTTGATGGGAGTCCTTTGAAAATATCTATTAATTTATTCACAACCGTTGCAGACTAGGAACGATGTAAAACTTAACATATTGTACACATATACCTGTCTGATGATGGAGAATTATCAATTACCATTTGGATGTCTTTTTGTTAGTTATAGCGTTTGGTAACTAAAGCTGGTGGATTCTTCTGCTTTCATTTTGTTCTTATATATCTCAAACCGTGCTGCTAAATGAAAACTACATGTTTGCATGCTACTTCATGTTCTTTTGATTTTAACATGTGTCATTTTGTCTGTTCTAGAGAGTTGTCTCATTGGCAATTATACTAAATCTTCATATTTTTATCTTAGGTCGAAAACGTACTGTTGTTGTTTGTCTATATTCGACTTAATACCTCGGTAATAGCAAATAAAAAAACTTTAAATCCAATAAGCAGTCCACTTAGAATAATGATAAAAATTAAAAACTAACCACACAAAATTCCCCCCAAAAATGTGAATGAACGAATGAACTCTAGAAGAGTAGGCAGTTTAAGCAGGTTAGGGGTCATCTGAGATAAAGATATTTATTCTGAAAGGTCAGGCTGACCATCTAACCTGAACCCCTATGTCGTTCGTACCAAGTATTGTTACCCGAGCCGTGCAGATTAAATAAACCATACCAATTTGCTTGTTCAATAACTATAATATACAGTCTAATGTCAACCTTTTTCATGCATCAATCACTTTGTCAATCCTTCATTAAATTTAATGAAATTTGGACATAGTTTTTTATGACCAAAAGACAGTATCCAGAGCAAAATTTTGAAAATATTTATTTCCATTTTCCGTATTTACCGATACTGATAAAGTTACTACGTTGCTTTTTTATAGTTAACAATCAGATCAGTCTTAGATTAAACGATTTCTCAGTCAATAATGACTTTTCCCAACCTTTATGGAATTTTACCTTAGTTGGAAAAACCTTTTCATGATTAAAAAACATTATTCAGAACAAAATCATTCAAAAGTTTGCTTCATTTTCCGCATTATACTGATTGAAAAACATAGTTTTTTACAGCTGCAGTTAGCAAGTAGATGTAGTATGTGGTTAAAAGGAGTAGGGGCTATAATGGTATAAAATGGCCCAAGATTTACAAAATAATAAAAATTTAAACCGAGCAGATTTTACTCCATAAATAATTAAAATATGAGTCAATGATTTAAAAAACAGATTTTATCTAACAGAAAAAAGGTTTAATGACGTCACAATGGTAGGTGTAAATGACGTCATAATCGGGTAATTAGGAAAAATGCAGAAATTGGGATGGTTTTCCTACATTTTGACCACCGTACCATGCTTGCACCAATTTCAAATTTTAAAATTTTGACAAGATCATACATATCAAATTTCAGATAAAATATCTTTTTAGTGCAAGGTTGGTGCGATAGTTTATTTTATATTTTTCATAGCCAATCAGTCAATAAAAAGCTGAAATTTGCTTATAAAATGAGACCCATTCTTATGACAAAGTTTAATTTATACATTCTTCTGCCTATATGAGTTTTACTTTTTCGCTTATGAATTAGTAACATGTACTTCTATTATTATTTTCGTAAGTATTTTAAGTTTAACTTTTAAAAAACCCAAAAGCAATAAACTACATAATATGGTAAGGGAGTCAACGATAACTTTGAGGAAAAGTTTTTTTTTAAATATGAAATTTTAGATAGACATACATTATAAAAAAAACTTATCATTTCTTAACAAAAACAAAATATACCAAGCTAAAATTTACATAATTGATGAGAAAAATTAAGTTTATTTTGAAAATGATGCCACCCTCATTCAAATTTGAAATGTCTTTGGCGGTAATAAGCATTGAGTAAAAGTTTCATAACATTTGGTTGTGGCAAAGAAATGTAAGAGAACGAAAACCCTAAAATCGTTGATTTTTCCACTTATAAAGGGACAGTACGCCAGAACAGTGAAAGTGATACCACCCAACTTTTCACTTGATCTGTATACTTCTAAAAATAAAAATGTACATTTAATAATTCAACCTGTACTTGAACAAACACAGGGTTCAAACGTATTGGGTGCACACGAGTCTAGGAGGCGAAAGTGGGGATGAGAACGTATACGGTACAAATGTGTTTTCGGAGCGAACGGGCCCGATACCATCTGTTATGTCCCCTCCCCACGACAGGCAGTCTCACTAATTAGCGACAAGAAGAGTTTTACCGACAAGAAGCAACAAGAAGAAAAAATAAGAAAAGGGTATACAAATTAAGCGACAAGACAGTTTATACTATCAAAACAAGAAATTAAAGAAAAAGTCAGTTAATTACAGCTGATTATTTATTGTTTAATAAATCTAAGTTTCAAATTTTGTTTTATATAGTATCACTACAGTTTTGTTATGAGTTTACAGTGGCCGATCCGCCTTTTCATAAAAGGGGGGGGGGGGGGGCGCTCCAGTCATGCTTCAGTGATTCCCTATATAATCAACCAAATTTTTCCCACAAAAGGGGGGGGGGGCGGGCCCCCTGGATCCGCCTATGGTTTATAGTGAAAAAATAATAATATATTCTAATATAAGAATTCACTCCTTCAGACTTTTGAGTCTGAAATAAAGAAAGATTAGATTATCTTATAATTTGGTTTGAATTTTGAAAATATCAACCTTACCGACCCTCTGCATAAGTACTGTAATGAAACTATCCTTATATCAAAAAAAAAACCTTTAATGCATGTTTCTATATTTATTAATTTTAGAAAATTAATATTAAGATTTATTAGTACTAAATCAGTCTTCTTGTCGCTAAATTATTATTCTTGTAGCGAATTGTGAGACCCCACGGCGAGGGCATTAAAAGGGTTCTAACCAGCACTGGAGACAAAATCTTTTTATATCATCAATAATCGGTATAATTGAGAGAAAAAATATAAGGTGTACACGTATTAACTCATGATCAAATGTAAGAACCAGCCATTTCACCGTAAGGGCAATGGTACTTTTTTTTTACTCCACAGATGGACTCTAGAAGTGCATTTTGTTACCACGTTCTCTTGAAGACTGATTACTTTTGTTTGTCTGTAGTTTTGTTTGTTGATATTTCAGCATTGACATTCTTTGTTACTTTTTACAATGTGCCACTCGAACAATCTTTTTGTTGCAACATATCAAAAGCTAAATCTTGTAAAATAGAAAAAAATGTTGTTGCTATGGGTAATGATTTGTTGCTAGGGTGAAGTTACAACGATTTTCCAGAAAATGTATGTTACATTGTGTTACATTTAAAAAGTGTATAAGTGTAAAATTCACTTCATGCATATGTTTAACAGGTTTGATTCAAGTATAGATTTTAGCTGTATGTTTAGCATATTTATTGAGTTTATCTCCACCATTATACTGATTGCTAGGCAACAGAAAATACAAGATAGACCCAAAATTCTACCATTTTCAGAAGGTCTGTGGTATAGAGTTACGACATGACAAATTAAATGAAATTTGGGGGTGGGGCCAAAAATGGCCCTTATCGCCCCTTGTCCTTTGTACCAAATCCATTACTTGTCAAACATTCATATTAATGAAAATTTGGCAGAACTTTTTTATTGATTTAAAGATAACGTCTGAAACAAAATTTTGAAATAAGTATTTTCTTTCCTTTTTCAGTATTTTTTTATAGAGAGTCTCAAATTTTTGGCAGTAAACAAATCCAGACAGTCGGGGATTAATTATAATTGACATGATTATAAGACTTTGACAGAAGCTAACATTCAAGATCAAGTAACAACATCTGAAGAAAAAAGTTTGATAAAAAAGTCTGTATTTTACTGATAAATCATAACCAGGCCATACTTTGTATAATCAGCATTACACATTTACACAGACAGCAGGAATCGTGGGCGAGACAGAGGGTTATGCGGGACCCTTTGCGATATTTTTTTAATATCAAAGGAGAAAAGGATAGATTCCGTGAATGATGTATGGGTATATTTCGTATTCTCATCTTTGCTGCAAACTCCGAAGTCTAAATTTCGTAAGACATTTTAAATGATGAATTTTGCATTTAAACACACTATTGTTTGCTGCTTGAACTGCTGGAACAACATCATATTTGTCGGGAAATGAGGATAAGGCATCTACCCTCTCGTTGCTTGTTATTTATCGGAGTTTCACAATAATAAGATTCAAACACATAGAATTTGCACAAAGACAAGACAAAAATTAAACAAATAAATTGTGGACAAATTATATATTCATTTGATTGGACTACCTGGTGAATTTCTTTGCCGATTTGTCTTTAACTGGTAAATGTTTGCCTGATAGACTATCATACATTTGCACTTATTACAGCTTGGAAAATACATTTAAGGATGAACTA